AAAGGTGTCACACTACACTACACACGCAACAGCAAGGTCAGAAGGGCGACACTCTCTTTATGAATACAGAGACTACAAATAGCTCTCGTTTCTTTTTCAAATATTTGCCAAACAGTCCAATTATCTGTTCTAATTTACATAACATGATTTGATTATGAAATACCTTTGCGGCTATAACAGAATATGACCCGTGTTGTAGCCTGGAGGTCCACCAATTACTGGATCGGCCTGAGTGATGAGACAGTGGCGAACGGCGTATTCATCTGGTCGGATGGGACACAGGCAAGCTACACAAACTGGATGCCAAACGAAGGGAAGAGTACCTCAGAGTACTGTGTTGAGATGGTCCGGTCACATGACTACCAGTGGAACGACAATCCCTGCTGGGCTGCACTGAGATTCATCTGCGAATACACAACTAGTGTTGTGTGATGGTATCATGGTTGTACGTGAATGCAGGTTTTTATTACGATTTACGAATCAGCCCAGGTGGAATAAAGTCTTGAGAAGAGTCCTATTTCTTACAATCGAGGTTATTAATTTCAGTTGTTTAAAAACATCAAAATTACACAACTATGGCAAAGAAAGTAACCCTTTGACTTGGATATTGCCCCAAAACATTTCTTCTTAATTTTATATATTCAGTAGTAAATGGGTACCCGGTAGAATGACATTCTTTGTGATTGTAAACCATTTCGTGCCTCATAATGCAGATTGGGTTGCATACTCCAACGAGATCTGAGCACATAGTTCAATTCCACGCCGAACCTCTGACCGAGGTAATGATTGTGTGGGTTCCATTGTTAGTATTTATTTACGATAGCCCGCAATACATTGAAAGAATAATTTGTTTTAATAACTCTTTTCTTATTTCGTTCACTTACCATACTGTTTTGGAAAAAAACATATCTAAACCGGAGACATTGTAAAAAGGACCTACCTGAAACTCATAGCTTATTGCTATCTGGAAAATAACGCATTGTGCTTGTAGATTCTGAACGTATCATTGATTAAACGAAAGGTCCGAAACAAGATATCACTAAGACATAGTGAATGAGTGGGGTCGGTTAGCGACGCTTTGAACAGTATTACAGTTATATTTATATTACAGTATGCCAGCTTGGTGTGGAAAGGAAACCCCTGGTTACTAAGGTCTTGGAGTTTACCAATTTGGAGTTTCAACGCTGTTCGACAAAAATGAAAGTCTGGTAGTCTAGATCATGTACTTTGTCTACCCCTCTGACAAGTGTAAATTTGCTCGGCTCCCATTGCCGAAGGTTATGAATACACAATGCCATTTAGAAAGTGGTCGAATGTAACATATTTTATTTTTAGGATAACACTTCCTTAGTACAGTACAGATTCTAGTACTTTTTTGCCCGGGATCCCTGACGTCTTCTAGACTTCGTGTGCCAGACAACCAGTTGTCGGACTTTCATTTTTGTGAAAGCCTTGGTGGCTGAGTGGGTTAGATCGCTGACTTTGTGTGCTGGCGATTGTGAGAGTGTGGGTTCGGTTCCCGGATGGGACTCAACCCATAAAAGAACTAGAATCTGTACTTTACTAAGAAAGGGTTATCCCAAATATAACATTTGTTACATTTTACCGCTTTCTAAATGGCATTGTATATTCATCACCCGGAACGTCTTAGACGTTTACCACTTCAGTGAAAACCCAAAAGAAGGGATATGGTGCGAGTATACCAAGGACAATAATCAGTTCGAAATAGGGATTTGAACCCGCAGTCATGAGTTTCTTGCACGCATAACTGGTGCCTCGAGAAAGACCTGGATACAACGAAGGCTCCAGTGTTTGATATCATGAGCATCAATCCACGCAATTGGGATACGATAAATCACCGAGCCTGACCTCCCGTTTGAGTTCATTTTTAGTAGTATGGACGGGGGCGATGGGGTATCCTAGTGGTAGAAGCGTTCGCTCGTCACATCGAAGACCCGGGTTCGATTCTCCACATGTACAATGTGTAAAGGCCATTTCTGGTGTCAACCGCTGTGATATTGGTGGAATATGTCCCAAAACGGCCTAAAGCCATACTCCTTCACTCATTCACTTAGTATGTACGGTTCTTTTGACAATATTACATCAATATGACTTTTGGGTCAAACACATTGAATCTTCTCCGGGCCTTCTTTGTGACCTCCGAGTTATATTGTTAAGTAAATTATATCACGTTTCAGTGTAGTGCGTTGGGTTAAATATATAAAGGACAAAACTCTTTCCATAATCATGAAAATCACCGCTTGCAATAGTATTTCAGTTATATCACAGAGTGTCGGTTTAATATTGATGTACAAGTACGGTCCATATAAAGGAAGCCAGAGAAATTAAGTGACAAACTATTCATAAAACCCACCAGCCTCGGAGGGGTGTGGTGATGATAAACCAATGTCCATGTGATAGGGCGAAAAACATAATTATACTGGCATGACGATAACATTTGTTTATTTGTTAATTTGTTTGTTTGTTGGTTGGTTGTTTAACGACACACTCAGCAATATTCCAACATCATTTTGACGGCGGCCTGTAAATAATTGAGCCTGGACCAGACAATCCTGAGATTGACATCACGAGCATCGATCCACGCAGTTGGGATACGATGATGCATCAACCAAGTCGGCGAGTCTGACCACCCGATATCGTCAGTGGCCTTTTACGACAAACATGGGTTGCTGAAGACCTATTCTGACCCGGATCTTCACGGGTATATGACGACAGCGTACACCTACACATACAGTAAACTACGGTTATAACGAACTGACGGATATAACGAACTTACTTTTTGCTATAATTGCTATGCTTTTTGCTATTTTTTATAATTTGATGTAGTTATGCTGTATATATGCTTGTAACGAACTACGGTTATAACGAACTAAAATTGGTAGTCCCTTTGAGTTCGTTATAACCGTAGTTTACTGTACGTTTATGTATACACATAAATAGACACGTAATGGTAACATACTTATCATCACTTAAGCACATTACACAGAAGCAGATTACTAAAAGGTATTATCAGTGTCCGTCTTCACACCATGTGTGCATCTAATGCCATTAAGCAGTTGTGACGTGTGAGCTGTTTATGATAATATTATGATGCTTAATTTTCAGGATTGATTACTGCACGTGATTTATAGAGGCCACATGCTGGTCATGCAAATAATGTTTCCAGATGATGTTTTATTACAGTAAAGGCATCCATGGGTCGGGTGTGTAGTTTGTACATCTGAACCTGAATACTGTCAATCGTTTAGGAAATAAATCGTATGTGTTTTCAGATTTGCGTATGTTATTGAGTATGTGAGTACATTAAGCATTTTGAGAAGGCGTTAGCCGCAGGATTCAAAAATTTAAATTTACACGAATCGTTCTCTTTTATACGTGATGTCACTCACGATGGTTCTGACGTCATGATTCTGTGAATAGCAGAATGTCGAGAAGAAACAACTAAATCAAAGATCTTATAAATATTGATCAAATATAGCACTTAATGTTCATTCAGTGTTTTTTCCATGGCTATGGCCACGTTTGTCACATTTCATTTGATACTTATCAAAAACGTATTTCAAAAACGTTCAAATCTAATTCAACAACGTTCTTTTCTCAACAAAACCAGACTGCAGCACACTCCCATTATCTAATACTATTGAGAACACAATATAGTACACAGAGGTGGATCTTTACGGTAATAAAGCAAAAAAAAATGTGATTGCATAACAGTCTTTCCTTGCATGCGTGTTCCACCTGTTTGCATGTATATGTCAATGCTATGTTGAGTTTATTTTATTTATATACTATAAGGGGCGGTCGGGTAGCCTAGTGGTTAAAGCGTTCGCTCGTCACGCCGAAGATCCGGGTTCGATTCCCGACATGGGTACAATGTGTGAAGCCCATTTCTTGTGTCCCCCGCCGTGATATTGCTGGAATATTGCTAAAAGCGGCGTAAAACCATACTCACTCATATACTATAAATTAACGACAATGTACCAGTTCTATTGTTTTGTCGTAGCAGTTTCAATTAGAACGGCAAAAACGTTCATTTACAGAAAACAAAGGGATACGTGTATATATGAGACACTCCGGGGAAATCTACACAGTATTACTAACGTTCATCTTAGCTATAAATGATGACCTCACTACTGACACTCTCATCATTACATGTGCTGGCTATCACGGTGTGATATTAGGATTTAATAAAATAAAAAGGCTTAAAGGTTTGTCAGTATATTTATCAAAAAGGACCATTGTCAGAACAAAATACAATCTTTTACCAGACTGTAGCCCCTTGTTGCATCCCAAACAAACTGAATTGTGTTCTATCACTGAATACTTTATTATTGTTAAATGTCGCAAGTTTCACCTTCGCCGAAATCTGGAACAATAGGTAGTGTCAAAGCTTCAACAAAGCATGTCATCTTTTGGCAGGTTATCACGGCTGTAACAACGCAGACACAAGTGGATAAAAAGCTTCTAACTAGAAAGCAAGACTGAACTATTGTTGGTCATTTTTCAATGAATATGTTTCACAGTACAATGCAAGCACAATCTGCTTGAGGCCAAGTAGACGTTCAAGCCTTTACATTGTAGGTATGTCAACACTATCACGAGCAAATATTGACTGAGTTATGGTAAACTGGTGCAATGTATTTGTCAGTTCATTGTGAGTTAACGCTATTGTCCGTTAGGTGTCAAAGGTAGGTCGACAAGGAAAAAAACAGCGAACCTTTTGTTGCGAATTTTGCTTATTCTGATTCCATGAATATTTCGAATGCAGGAAAATTTTCAAAATCTATCATAACTACAAATAGTGTCAGAGTCTTATCTATTGTCAAATTAACACGTTCTAATTTCAACTGGGGCTACCTTTTCAACGCTCACAAAAAGTGTGTTCCTTCAAAAAAATGATTGTGAAGAACATTCTTGGCAGCATAAAGTTTCAGTTTGGTATGTCGTATTTCACATCCAAAATTACAGACGGACATACTGCATAGTTTATGAAACCATCTATTGAAAGATGGGGAATGAAATTCTAGGTAGCACGTGCACTAAGCTTCAGTTTGGTATGTCGTACTTTGCATATTACTGGCGGACATACTGCATAGATTATGAAACGTCTGTTGAAAGATACACTCGTGGTAGGTTAATTATCCCACAGATGTGAATTATTCTCGGAAACAGTTAATAGTGAGTGAGCGAGTTCACATTCAACATACAAGCCATATAACGAAGAGATCATTTTTTTACACTCATAAAGATCATGTACACTAAAACTGTAAAGTAAACATCACAGATAAACTAGATAGTGAGTGAGTTGGGTTTAACGTCGCCTGTAACACTATTCCAATTATATCGCGGCCTGTCAGCTTAATGTAGGATGAAAGCCAGAAGTGATGCAGGTGTCAGTCGTTCACCAGTTCGGTAAAACCCACGGGTATGATGCTGCCAAACGCAGAAACATAATCGGGGGCGAACCGGGATTCGAACCCACATTCATAGTTTTGGGGCATGCCCAAAGGACGCAACTCTGCACAGTGAATTGCGGCGGCTTGGGCGACAGGGCAACCCAATGCCCCCGATAAACTAGATTTATACAAGTTCAACCTACAAATGTATCTAGTCATCTATATAAACTACACTGGAATAATGACATACGCATATACTTGGATGTGATGTAATTGAATATAAATATAATTAACTATTATAGTAATACATGTAATATGAACTGAGCAAACACATTTACGAAAATTGTAAAAAAATACATCATAAACGAATTCCGCAATATTATCTGTGTTAATACGATGCATCAATTTCAGTTTAATTAATATCTGAGTGGTCCTTTAGCCTTAATTATCAGTCTTCCTCGTCTCATAGGCACGGAAGCTATCACAATCATGTTAATTGTTAGCTAACACGATGTTACATTTTTGCTACAACACCGGCTGTTGAGTTCGTTTCATTCCACGTGGCTCAAGTGCAAAAGGGCGAGATGATCGCGGTACCAGATACATGTGTAGCTGTTAACGATGGAAGTAGTGGGTAAATTTGAATTATTTGAGTAAGTTGAAATTGAGAGACGTATTTCATATCATGAATGAAAGGCGGCGGCATTTGTTCAATCTATAGCTAAACCCAATACAAAAACTGGACATGCGACCGATATCTATTCTTATGAGTGAGTGAGTGAGTATGGTTTTACGCCGCTTTTAGCAATATTCCAGCAATATCACGGCGGGGGTCACAGGAAATGAGCTTCACACATTGTACCCATGTCGGGAATCGAACCCGGGTCTTCGGCGTGACGAGCGAACGCTTTAACCACTAGGCTACCCGACCGCCCCCTATTCTTATGAAATCTCTTTCCAATGTGCGTCGTGTGAAGTTGGCTTGTGTAGTTTAACTCTCATTAAATGATACCGGCTGTAGAGAAACTGATCCTGTATAATAAAAAAGTTGTCCGATCGTGTATTCATCCATATATATATATTATTAAAAATACATATC